ATCTTCATATATGAAGTGCGTTCACTACAATGTAAATGTGAATCATACAAATAAATTGTTCTGCAATGTTGGGGTCCAAGCGGAATCGCTCGGGTTATCAGTTGGTCGGTGTCCACTTAAAACACTGCGACGTCCTGCGATCAAGTTTGCCATAAATCTATACTCTTTATACTAATATTCTATCCTCTGGGAATGTAGTCTTTAGTACAATGAACGTAACAAAATGCAGAATACCTTACAGTGACATCTGAGGCGGTATATTATGAGGATCTTGTGTCAGCTAGGGTGAATTTCAGCGCGTTTGGGCAATCCTGCCATAGATTTTATAAGAATCAAATATAGCTCACTTTTTGTGCCCGTGCTGCTTCCCTGTTTAATGGGGTGTTTGCCTATTTTTACTTTAATTTTGTCTCCCGCTTTGCCAAAGACCTGAATTTATTATATTGCTAACCCCTCCGATTTACTTCTGATTAATCTCGTTGCGGGTTCCAAGACAGTTTAACTTTCCCTGGGACTGCCCGAGTGTGTGTTCATGGGTCACTGCTGTGGATCTTGGTGTAGGAGTAGTGTGCGTGTGGTAGGAACTAGTTTTGTAAAATTAGATGTGAAAAATGTGAAAAAAAAATAGCTACTAAATAATTGACATTATTGACTTACCTATTATTTGGGTCCAATAGGCTTGATATTAGTGACATTAATATTGCAAGTACGTATAGAATCAATGTGTGTGTTTACCAAGTGAGTCGTATAACACAGGCATATTTAAAAAACTAGATGCGCAAGCGCATATAGGTCACGCATACATATTTAATATGTATAAAAAAGGCGTGAACTCGCAATCGCGCACTCCAATAACAGCGTTAAACAATGTTATTACACTATTATACAATGGGACACTGACCTGCATTTAGCTATTGTTTAAACAGCTTTATTGTCGTTCCTAATCGCTACGTTTTCATTCATGTTTTACTTCACTTTAAGTACAATGTTAAATAAGCTTTATGTGTAAATAGGTGGGTTTCATTTCGAATACATTGTTAAAATGCAGTCCTCAGAAAAGAAATACCGAATTTATGTAAGAGTAGCAAAGATTAATATTGAATGGCGATTGCCTTCATACGAGTTAGTATCGTTAGCACAGTTAGCAGTTGCTGAACGCTGTTTGGTTTCGTAATTAAGGATGGGGTCCCTTTTTGGGCGATTGACTCCTGGATAATTATTATTGAAAAGGGTCTTTGGACGCCATGTGGTGGCGTAATTTAATGGGATTACGTAAAATTCTTCATTTTGTTAGTGGAGGCGTGTGGTAGATTGTTATAATTTCTGAATTAATATTCCCTACCCGTTCAACGGATTTGAAACCGCTGCAGCCAAAGTGTACGCTTATTTTTAAGTTTTAAAATTATTTCATAACCATATCTTACTTTCAGTTCATGACTTCATAATCCTTGCTGTAATTCGTGACGCAAATTAATCATATTTTTGTGGTTAAAAGAAACAAAGTTTCGTTTATCCACGTCTCCTCCCCTTCCATTTTATTGCCGGAGTTCCTTATTCTCTAAAAAACAAAAAAAAACTTCGCATTTGCTTGTCTGCAAAAAAAATCGTATAAGACCCTTCGTTTGACACAGAGGGTTGTTTCACAACTTGTTTGTAACATTTGCCCGAAATTTTTTCTACGAGAAATGTACGCTTTTCCGTCCCCAAGTTAACGATGCGATTAGCAAGGAAGAAAAAGTGACTGTCATCTAACTTACCTGCGTCAAATTCTTAGGAGAGTTTGTCTTCCTGTAGGTATTTGAGGAATTGTTAGAGACCCTGCCAGCATCTATGTCTTAAATATATCCTATTATTCATTTCATCATCTTAACACTTTTTTAATTTATTCATAAAAAAATACAAAACAAATAATACTTCGTAAAATAGCATTCTTAAACCACTAGGTTTGTAGTGAATGCTACAAGTGGTCTACGGTCATATTGTACTTACAAAATAACGACTGTGTAGGTGTTAAAAGTAAAAACATTGGACTAGAAAGTGTTTCTTATTTACTTTCTTTTTAATAAACATCTAAATGAGGCTGGTTTTTGAACGCTATGGTTATGTAGAGTGGCTACTAGACCAATTAGGTCTTTACAAGGTTTTTAACATGTCGCTGTCATCCATGGGGTTGTGCATGTCTATAAGCTATTACTCGTATTATAACCTATTAAATGACCATAAATGTTGTTACCACCACAGTGTATAAGCATTCAGGATCCCTATTCAGTAGCATCACATGCCTTTTTACATTTCGATTGGAAGTTTCTCAACAATAAGTAATACACGTTTCTTCGAAACTGTAAACGCGAACATCGCCTAAAGCACGTACTTGGTTATTTACGATGTGTAGGCGCGTTGAAGGCGAGTCAATCAATTATATTAGAATCGAATCATTGTCTCTTGCAGGATGCGGGACTATCGGACACGTCAGTTGGCAAATAGATCGTCGTTGACTTAGATAACACACGGAAGAAACACTTAAACTAATATTTACTACCACACTTTTGTGACTAGTGCTATATTTATACAAAATAGATGTATAATTTTAAGATTAGATCTAGTTTATTAAAAATATCTAACGTAATAAGCTACTTTTATGCTTGTTGGTTTTTAAGTCATAGAGAATTCAACGAACGATTCCATTTCACTCCTCAAAAATAAAGAAACAGACGCAAATGTTCCAAGCACGTGTTAATCTATCGTTTCCAAGCCTTGGTGTCTTATTAGAGCTATTATCAGGTTTATTGATACAGAAGTCAAACGATAAAGCTTGTACTCAGAGGTAGGTCCTTGACATAATTAAACACTAACCAGCTGTGTCGTTTTCGGTTACATCTGCTGTATTAGTGAGTGAGTGACTGACAGTAGAAGTTTAATGACGCAACAAACCTTGGTTATTTACGCCGGTTTTAACATTAAGTTTGGATTTAGGCACGCTTATCAACAGATGGTCTGTAGATGAAAATTCATATTATAGAATCATGTTGACTGAAGTTCAGTTCAAAAAAGGAAGAAAGCCTTTTTTGAAGTAAAGTCATTTGCATTAATGTATATTGCTCTAGTTCCGTGTATTAACGTGGAATAACAATTTTGTACACAGTGCACAAAATAAAATGTCCCAGGACTTGATCACCGTTCTTTACACGTTCATCGTACATCGTTTTATTAAAATAATCGTAATTCTAATCAAATCAGTCGAGGCTGTTCTAATACAGCAGCAGGTGTTCGACGATAATAGTTCCTGCTTGATAGTAAGCTGTTAGTATACGGATGGTTCGAACGGTACGTACCGATGTCAGTAGAACTTTGTCATAAAAAATTTTTTAGGCGCATGCTGTGGCAAAATTTGAAAATACGAATTTGAATTTGAGAATTAAAGGATAAAAGTTGTGTTAAGAAATGTTTATTATAATCATAATTAATACGGGAACTAAAACATTATTACACACATCGATGTCATTCAGCCTCTGACCACGGCTAGTGCGAGCTGGTCGAAACATCAGGCAACTGAAAAGTATATACCTAATACCTAGGTCGCCTTAGTTCCCATATTAATAAGTTTCTTATAATCTCTTCACTTTTTATCATCTAGATATCAAAAGAATATCATATACGTGTACAATCTATATGTGTATATCGGAGTACCTAACTATTATTAGAATATCTCGACAATGTGAGTGTTCACCTATTTATAACTGGCGCTTACTCATACAACTCGTGCGTATAAAATAGAATATTAATAAATAGATATCATAAATCGAATATTGTATGGGTACTACTCAGAATCAAACTCAATGACTGTGCTACATCAACAGTTAGCAACTTGAAGAAATTAAGCCAAGTTTGTAAAAATCTTGTTTGTTGTTGTTAATAAAACACAACCACACCAATATTATAAACGCGATGTGAGTTTGTTTCCTTTAACGTGGGTATTTCGTCGAGTTTGGTACCCGAAGGTCGACTTTTTTCATAGGGTAAAAAGCGGCTCATGGTGTGGAGGAATGCTTCTAAGCGTGGTTAGAGGTTCTAACCACGCTTAGAAGCATTGGCCGCCGTCGCGCGGTGACCATGTGAGATCACCGTCCCTACTGCCAACCAAATATTGAAAAAAAAATGTAATTATATCGTGTTCCTAATTAAAACCACCCTGGGTCGGAAACCATGGTACATGACCTCTCAATTCTTCTGTTTACCGTGCCAAGAGTGATATAAGTTCCAGTGTTATAGAAATTTATTTTTTTATGAAATAAAGCGACATTAATGTTTTGTTTAATCACTGATTAACTAGTGTACTGTTCTTAGTTCAATATTTGTTTTTGGCGTTTTAGTCTTGATAACAAATTTTCGAGGAAATAAAAATTCAGATGAGATACATGAGATGTGTGGTATATTATAATTATTTATTTCAAAAAAATGTTGCCAGTGTTATGGTATTATATATATTTGATTATTTAAAAACAATATTCATAGACAAGTGGGAAAATAGACTTAGATTGCACGTATGGCGGCACGATATGGCGCAGTGGTTGAAGCGGTGGCCACGCCGCTTCCTACTGCGCCAAGTGTTGTGGGTTCCAACCCCACATGGGACGACACTTTGTGTGATCCACAAAATGTCCGTTTCATATATGTTTGTAAAGTCCCCCGCGACACAGGATACATTTCTAATGCGGGAGTTATCTTTATTAAAAAAAAAAATATACATCTACAAGTTTTTTTTTCTGTGTCTACACTTGCTATAAGTTACGTCAAGCACGTCATAAGTAACTATAACAAACCAATAGTAACATGCTAAGAATTTTCTTTCTTTTATTTGTCTGTGGCATTGTAAAATGCCTTTTTGTTAAGTATTAAGAAGTAATTAAAAACCTGTGAATTTATTTCAAGGTGTAACCATCCACGTAAGCACATCTTTCATGCTACACGCAGTTTTAACTTTTAAATTTATCTTGTTACAGTTCCGTCCGCACCACAAAACCTAACAGCAAACAGTATATCAGCTGAAGAAGTCCACCTATCGTGGGCCCCGCCATTGACTTTCACTCTACGCACTCTTCCCAGTACAGACATTGACCCCAATGGTCAAACATCCAAACCTGACACTGACCTCCTAGTCATAGCAAATAAAAGGATAGAACTGCAAGGAGATGAGCCTGTCAACGAAGTCCTTAACCAAGACTCCGTCTCTGATCGAATAGGTCCAGAGAAGTTCAAAGATGAGTACACTTCCTACAACTGGTACAAGAATGACAAACAGAAATACAACGATGAGTACTCATCTCATATCCTGCTCGATGACTACAGGAGTAAAAGAGATGTCAGAACACTCAGACATAGAAAGAGACGACAAGATAACAGTACACATTTCGAAAAGAGTTTAGAAGAACTTGAGACACATCAAGCATTGGAACCTTCGAAAGAGGTTGTAAAGAAATCTTTTGGACAAAGTAAACATAGGGATACTACACAAGTGGCTTACGTTCTTTATTATGAAGAAGGGGTCCCAAGATATGATGTTAATATTGTCAATGGTGTGCAGAAATCTTCTGATGTCAAGAAAAAGAATGTGTTTCGAAGTGACCTAGGTATGGAGGATTACAAAGGAGTGACCAAGAATCTGACGCTATTGAACACTTCCGGGAAGGTGACGAAAGTGGTCGGGTTCCGCTTGAGGAATTTGAGTGAGTATTATGTTCTTTTTTGGTGTCAGTTTGTGTAATAGTTTGATTTGTGCGGTTAGTGAAAGTTGTGTAATTCTACGGTTTTCAATAATTGAGTTAGTTTCGGATTTATAATTTGATTCTAAGGATTTTCGTTCCAAATGAAATCGCTCAGAATTAGATATTTAGGAATTTCTGTTATTTGATTTAGAAGATTTAAGAAGATATATATATATGTATAATTGTAGACAAAGAAATCATATTATGATTCCTAAGACATCATCTTTTGGTCTCGAAATATCAGGCAGTATCATGTATCACATTAAAGACAAGCGCTACTAATTATGACATTGAATAACTTCAGTGCCTATTAATAGTCTAGATTGCTAACAGCTATTTTACGTTAAGTTACTAATAGTGCATAAAACGGAGTTGAGATAAAACTGTTATCAAAGTACTGCAGTGGTACAGAGCAAAGATAGTGGCAAACTTTAACGAGAATTGGATTTAAAAGTGAAAATAATTCTGTAATGTTTGCGGGTTAATAACGAATACACGTATTGAACATTCAAGTATTTATTTCCGACTGCACATACAATAAGATTTGCCCGATACCCATGTTTATACAATATATATAAGGTATTTAAGACTTATAACTATTTAATACAAATTACCTTACATTTCAAGTTCCACCTTCAATATAGAGACTAATATCCAATGAATAGCCTATTGTAAAGCTTTAATGATAATTTTACCGAAACTGACATTTATTTTGCTTCACCATTTCACAATTTCAATCAAATGTGTCTTAGAAAACTTAGCTACCTTGTACCTAGAAAGTTTTATAGCCTAGCTAACTATTTGATCTATATAGCTTCACTTTTTTTTTTAATTCGTATATTCAATTTATTAATCGCCCACAAAACCTTATCTTGTTGTAATTATTTACATTTTATGCTTGCACCGTATGAACTTTGCAATCTAATATAATCATTCTGACAATAGTGCTGGTTGCATAATTACCCAATTTAAGACCCAGTATCAGAATTAAGCATTATTACTCAATTGTTTATTATCCCAAATAAATAAAATAAAATGTCCTAAATATGAGCCCAAGTACTTCAGCCTATTTAAAGTTTTGAAACAATGTTATTTAAATAGAAAGAAAATCTGACATTAATTTTGAATAGTGACTTTGCCTATACTTTCTGACTAAATCTACTATTATAAATAATCATAGACACGTTTTCGCTTGTACCTGAAAACTGAGGCACAATAAGTATCCAGTTTTTGCTAACTATAATTAAGTACCACTTACGTATGGCAAATGATTACCGTCAACCAGTACTTTCATTAAAAAAATCGGAGAATATTAAATGCGAAAGGCGAGAGTAGGTAAACAAAAGAAAGTTATATATTGCTTAAATGCATAATTGTGTTGAAGAGCGTAAGCCAGAGTTTAAGCAAGTAAGGTCATATATTTGTAACTTATATAGGTTGTTGCCCGGAAGTCTTCTTCAGATATAATAAAAAAATTAAAAACTTGATCATCGTCCTTCTTTTAGAGCCCTTCACTCCCTACAAGATCTGGGTGCGTGCGTTCTACAACTTCTCACTGGATGGAGTGAAGTCGTCTGACCTTCTTGACCGCTTGGGACCCAAATCTGACCCACTGTATGTCTTGACCGACGTGAGACCTCCGTCAGCTCCCATAATACTCAACCTTACCTGTGACCAGCCTAAACGTGAGTATTTTTTAACAAAACAATAGCACAATTAAAATGTGATAGGTTACCGGTTAAAATAAAGTCAAAAACTCCTGCACTTAATCATATAAAATCAAATAAAAATAATTTGACGCATCGATCAAGCCCCGCACCCCGACCAATCGAGTTTGAAACTATCGTACAAAACGATAATTTCTTGGAAATTGATATGTCAGGGGCGAGCCTTGATCAATGTGTCACTATTTTCTTAACACGAATGGACTATAGTCATATAGTATAAGAAAATAGTGACACATTATTATCTTAGATTTATGTGCCTACGCTTAATAACCCGCTAGACCCTATTACAACATTAATAAATTTTTTTCTCTAGGTACTCTCTACCTCCAATGGCGCCAACCTCTAGAGTACAACAACTCTCTTGATCAGTACGTGGTGACGCTGCGCAAGATTCCCGAGCAACAACCCCGCACTAGGCTTACATTACCAACTAACAAGAACGATATCGAAACTACTATTAGCGTGGTAAGTTCTGAGAGTAATCTTCTTGACCTGACATTATCACGAGAATATGAGCTGAGCCGAGTAAAGTCATTTCGGCTTTATTTCCCAATTTAGGTAAACTCCTTACTGTAGTTGTGTTAGAAACTGTACTGTCTTCACTTCACACTAGGTGATAGACCTTTACGTAAAATCAATCAATATATTCTTTTACCGCTTGTATTATACCGAGTGCTCCGAGGAATTGTTCGAACTTATATCGGCCGTAGATTTCCGTCACCGTTTAACAGGACAAAATGTCTATCCCCATCACTTGAAAAACTGGAATGGTGCCCTTTCCAAGAACTTCTTGCCTTGCACAACCAATGTTTGTATCAAATTGTTGATTATGGTATTTTCGGATCGATACGAACATAATAAACATAAGGAACATTCAATGTTCACATTAGCTGAACATAATTATAATTTTCCTCAATTATTTTGGTTCCGTGACGGTTCACGTGTCAGTTCTGTGATTTACGCAGTGACAAACACTACAAAAAGCACTGTTATTCTATTCTCTTTAAATCGGTTAACACAGTGTGGGAATAATTTATTTTATTAGTAAGTTATTTTATTAGTATTGGCACTTGTCTGTGTGGTTATGTGTATAGAATAGTATCAGTCAATTTTAACTCATCAAAGACATAATAAAACAGTATTTAACAATAAGCATGCAAAGTTTGCAGCAAACTCAATGAAGGCAAACTTTATGCAAAAATACACAGCTAAGTTTCTATTTCTAAAGTAATGGCTATTAAGTATTAACATACATGATTTTTACTTAGTATAGTATATAGTTGCCAGTTCCTATGATAGTATAAAAAAGGGTACTATCCAAATCAAAAGGTAGGGGTGTGAGTGCCACATAATTGTTTCTACTAAGTAGATACTCTTTCAGTTTATGTGTGTTATCTCGGTTCTTCTGCGTTTTCGACAGGGTTGGTATCAGCAATACTATAGAGCGCTTCAGAACGCCCATTGTCCATGTAAACTAGTTATATACAAGTAGTATAAAGTTTTTACTGAGCGCATTTTCCAAAAAAAAGAAACTTAGCCATGTCATCTATTAAAATAATGCGAATACAGTGTTTGTTATAAAAAATGGCCAAAGGTGTAAACGTGATACATTCGGGCCAACTGACTCCGGCAGTCTTAGACTATACTAGCACACTATTCCTATGGTTGTTATGTGTTTATGTTACCTGGTCCGCTAATTAATCTGCTTACCAAAGTTCCGGGTTAATTCTTTTAAGATCAAACATATATGTATATATTTTATATTAATTTACGTTTTTTATATGTAAATGTTCTTACAGGAGGTGGAATTATGGAATATGACAAGATACGAAGTTAAAATTTACGCAGTAACGCTATCAGTTTGTAAGGAAAAAGGTCTAGTCAACGGTGTCGAGTCACCGCCGGAGGTTGGTAGATATTTTTGTCCCTCCTTTGTGCATTGTGTTTTGTATTTATAACGCTCGAGTTATATTCTGTTTTGCTAACTTGTAAGCCGTTTATAAAACGTTTACTAATATTATTGTCAATTAAAAATATGTTATACTTATTTGTAAATTTGTTAGAATTTTTTTGTTTCTTTCTTTTCTCAACCAATCTGTGGAACAAGTTACCGTCTGCGGTATTTTCGGACCGATACGACTTTCAAATCTTCGAGATAAGAGGCGTACTCCTTCCTAAAAGGCCGGCAACGTGTTTGTGACTCCTGAGTTGCGTTCATGGGCGGCGATAGTCACATTCCATCCATTGACCCGTTTGCTAGTCTGCGCCCTCTTCCATAAATAAAAAATAACTAAATAATATTTCGTAATTTAATTAAACACTTTTTAGGACACTATAAAACACTAAAGTGACTTCTTCATCGTTTTCAAACTAAGGAAATCGTTTTATAGCAAAACATACTTTAGCAATGGGAGAGGCCTATGTCCAGCAGTGGACTGTGGTAGGCTGAAGATGATGATACTTTAGCAAAATTAACACAGAATGAACCACATAGTAACTAGCGATTTCTCGATCAAAAAGTTCTCGCGATAAGTTTCACACATCAATAATTAGTCCATGGTCTAACATTGACCCCCAGGCAAGCAGCCTGAAAAGAGGATATTCCCTTCGACGGGCCTGTTGGTTTAGTGGTTAGTGAGTGACCCTGACTGCTAAGCCGGAGGTCGTGGGTCCGATTCCCACCCAGGGCAAATATTGTGTGATAAGCACGATCACTCGTTCTGTGTCTGTTAGTAATTTATCTATAAAATGTATGTATTTTGAAATAAATAAGTATGTTTATCACCACCATACCATAGTGCAGACTTTGTCAAGTTTGGGATCAGACTGCTGTGTGAGATGTGTGAAGTTATTATTATTATTCCCTTTGTATAGGAGGGACATAACGTGATGAACGATGTCTTTTCCAGGAGGTGTCGAGTGAACTGTGCGTGGCGCACTCGGAGGCGATGTCCCCGGGCGAGGCGCCGCCCGCCGCCCGCGGCGTGAGCACGACCGCGCTGCTCGCCGTGTGCCCGCTCGCCTTGCTCGCTGCTCTGGCCGTCGCGCTGCTTTATTGGAGGTCAGAATTATATAGTCCGCTAGTGCCTTACTTACAGACCTAACGAACAAGCCTCAAAGTAATCGCATATCATGTGGCTCATTTAACATCTAGCACTCATTGGTCTGCCATTTATTCTCACATTCATTGCCCTGACTGGGAATCGAACATACTACCTCCGGCTCAGCACTCAGTATCTCTAACCACCGACCAACATACCAGTCGATTGTGGTGATTGGTGTTGCTCTGCAAATATAAATTAAATTTTCCTAATAACTAAATTTCTAGGTTTTCTTTATCGGTATAGATTTTGAGTTGAAAAACAATACATCGATGGTGCTAAATTCTAAAATAGATAAATAAAATTTTGAAATCGTTACTAAGTCTTGTGGATGTTAGGTTTGAGCGGTCCATAAATGTAAATAATAATTTAATGTTTTTACTATAGGTGTCGATCTCGACTGAGTAAATGTATCAGCGCTGCATATAATTATTTAGAAGAAGGCGGTGAGAGAGCTGCTCGGGCACCGCTCAATTCTTACAAAAAACCTGGTTAGTATATGTTGTGATCACTTATTTGTTCTTTTACGTCTAAGTTTTGCATCTCCAGATGACGTTCGAAGTAAAGTTTAAAAAATAACAACGTATAGTGTCATATAGTTAACAACTACCGCATGTAATACTCTTATTATTATTTTTATTATGAGAAACCTGGGAATATTTCTTAAGTGATAGTATTAACTTTTCAGAAAGTATTTTATATTTTTCTAATGATAACATTACCTACAGACTAATGAATAGGGTAGTGTGGTAAATTAACAATAATTTACAAGAAGTAACTCGCCCTTTCGCAGTGGTGAATTGTTCTCCGCTGGTGTCGTGCGCGTCAGGCGGGGCGGGAGCGGGCGCGGAGGCGGAAGAGGGAGCGGGCGCGGAGTGCGACAGCCGCGCTCGGCCGCCGCGGATGTCGGGAGCTCAGCACCCCGCCGTACGCGCCGCCATCTTCCCCGCACACGTGGCCTCGCTGCACGCCGATGGGGACATTGGCTTCAGGTACCACACCTACAATAGCAAATTTGTAAAAGACTGTATGTAACATTACATACAAAAAGCTCTAGAAATCCTAGAAACCTAGTTTTATTAATGTAAAAGTAAAATAAAAATAGAGTAATTACGGAAATGGTTTCATCAACCGCGTTAAATTTATATAACTTTGAAGTATAATGAAACAGCCGTGAAATTGGCTTTCTTTAAAACTAGTTACGAATTTTGTGAAGTGAGGTCTAAAAAGTATAAAAATTTGGTCACCATCAAACCTTATCGACTCTATTCACCTAAAAAATAATTTGGTTCTCTGTATAGTGGTCCCAAATTAAATTATATGTATTGTAGCCCATAATATTATTTGTTTTTTAATCAATTTTCAGTAAGGAGTATGAAATAGTGGTAGCGAAATCTGCCGCCTTGGGACATACAAGCCATCACAGCCACAGACCTGAAAATAAACTAAAAAATCGGTACCTGAATATTACTGCATGTAAGTACATACATTCCACGTATTAAACTTTCGCGAGTAAACAGATAAAAACGCAAGATGCTTTTGCTAAATGTAGAATGTGTTACAGTATTATTGGTGATGGCGATATAATAATCCATTGTACATCGGTGTTTTAAAATTCCATAATAGATTGAGCAAAAACGGGATTAGATGCAAGAAAAGAAACTTAATTTTGACATATTTGTACTTTCTGCTATTACAGTGTCAGAAACCGTTGCTCATTGTAATATTTATTGTTATTACATACGTGGGAGGCATAAAATATTAAAAAAATTACAACAAGGCTTCCGATTTAATATAAGATTTGTAGTATATGTATATATGAAGAATAGGTAAACTGAAATTAAGCATAAAATGAAATATGTAACGTATTGTCGTGTGCAGACGACCACTCGCGCGTGTGCGTGTCGGCGGGCGGGCGGTGCGGGGCGGCGGGGTGCGTGGGGGCGGGCGCGGGGGCGGGCGCGGGGGCGGGGGCGGGCCGCGGCGCCACCTGCGACTACGTCAACGCTAACTTCATCGACGGCATGCTGCCCGCGCTGCAGCCGCAACACGTCGCTCGGATTAAGAGGAAACTGGAGAGGAGGAGCAGACCTCACAGGTAATCTTCACTTAATATGAATAAATATCAAAAAATAATAATTACTTCATAATTCATATTTTATACAAGACTGACAATAAAGCAATCACTCTATATAATATTATTACTAACGACTACTTTGAAACTCTAAAAGCAAATTCCTTTACACATATCACTAGAGATTTCCCTTTTTGTAATGGTATATTTCGACTTTGCAGACAATCATCGATAAAGCCATCGAAACCACCACCTAACCTATCCGAGGGCATAGAATCGGCGTTCCTAAATATTGAGTTTTCCGGCATTGTTGAGTCAGACGAACAAAACTCTGATTCTGACAGTGATAGAAGTGATGACGGTTCAGAGTTGGATGATGTTTATGTTGATATTGGTGAGTTGTAACACTTATCATTATAAAAATAAAAATATATTTACCTATGACGCATGAGACAAACTCGTTTTATATTAGTATTAAGAATACGAAGTGTGACCACCCCTATTCAACCCGTGGGTATCATAAGAGCATGGAAGGGATAGGGTTAGTGGCATTCCGTATTCCTAATCCGTTGCCACACGGAGATTTTACGATACGGCCAAGTTAAACTTGTTAATAAAACTACTATGATGAAGCTAGATAAATATTATGTATAGGATTTGTATAGCTAAATTAACTGAGATTCACGATACTAATTTAATTTATTTCAGATGGTGTACCAACTCGAGTAAAATTAGAATGGCTGATATGGCGTCGAAGATATATCGCCACACAAGGCCCCACACCTGCTACTCTGGATGCGTTCTGGCGAATGATCTGGCAGCATCGTGTCCACACTGTTGTCATGATCACTAATCTCGTGGAGAGAGGACGGGTATGTATGAATAGGGAACATGGACTTTGAGCTTATCTTAGTCAGTGAACTTGGATTACAAACTTAATAGGATTACAATTTTTACCGGGTGCTAGGTCCTTCCTGACATGTATTTACTATATAATTGATTTATAATTCAGTTAGCAAAACTATTAAGTATGTATATTAAGTTCCTTTTTTACACGTTTCGCACGAAAGTTTGGGTTCTAATCGGTCAGGGTGTGTTACTATTTTCTGAACGCGAACTTACTATAGTAGGGGGTCGGCAGAAGGGTTAGTACGTCGTTAGTGATGTAACGCGTTGTCCCTCCCAGCGCAAGTGCGACATGTACTGGCCGGCGGGCGGCGCGGGCAGCGCGGCGGAGTTCGGCGGCGTGCGCGTGACGCTGCTGCACGAGGACGTGCGCGCCGCCTACACCGTGCGACACATGCGCGTGCACAAGCTGCCTCTGGACTGCGCCGGGGTACCCAACTCTTTTTTACTTTTCACCTTCTCTTAGGACTCCGATTGCTTTTTTCTTAACGAGATTCTGTAATTATGTCTTTCACTAAAATTTACTTCGTATGTACGTTTATATGTCTGAGTTAAAAATCGTTATTTAAAAATATTCGTTTGCGACTTTTCCTACAGTAACAGACTCCATCGAGAGAACATTAAATAAATCAGTCAATGAGAAGTTAATATGCACGCTTTATAAGTGGAGCGTTGTATTTTTTGAGCATGAACCCGTTTTGACCGCGTCGATCACCCCCTCAGGGTAGCTCCCCCGGCAGCGAGGAGAGCGGCGACAGCCGCGGGGCGGGACGCGTGGTGGTGCAGTACCACTACACGGTGTGGCCCGACCACGGCACGCCGCGCCACCCGCTGGCCGTGCTGCCCTTCGTCAAGGCCGCCGCCAAGCACCCCGCCACCGTGCTCGTGCACTGCAGGTACTGCTCACTCCACACAACAAATATAACTATACAATAACTTAACTAACTATTAAATATATTATTTGTATGAACTGCGACTCATCAGTTGATAGTCGATTGTGAACCCAGACCGATTTAGACTATGATTAAAGTAATATTGGAAATAAGTTTCTGCAATGGAATGTTGTCATATTATAATGACAGGCTTGCGAATGATAATGAGATATTTTATTTTTGAATATAAAGTTCTTATTTTTAAAATTCATACATTTGTTTAAGAGAAATTACCAAAACTCGTAAAATGTAATACAAAATTGTTGTAAAATTTATCTTATCCTCTACAGTGCCGGGGTTGGCCGCACGGGCACGTACATAGTCCTCGACGCTCAACTGAATCAACTCAAACTGACAGGCACGCTCTCACCACTAGGATTCTTGTGTCGAGCCAGAACACAACGAAACCACTTAGTTCAAACAGAAGAACAGTACGTGTTCGTACACGACGCGTTGTTGGAACACGTACGCTCGGGAGACACAGAGGTCGAGTTCCCTAAAGCGAGAGAATACCTCGCTAAACTTCTCGTACCGATATCTGACGAAGAACTAGCTGTTTTAGACATTAATTCAAACAAACATAGAAGCGCAATTGACTTGTCGAATGGTATTGAAAACGGCGAAACGTCAAGTATTAAATCTAGTGTTCATACTAGTGAGAAGGAAGTTCTAGAAAACGGTAGCCAGATTTCCATAAAGACTGATGACCTCAATAGCGAGAACAGTAAATCTGTGAAAGATTCAGAGGGAACCGACGATAGTAAAGATGGAATGGTGAATGGGGACGACACGGAAGGAGTGTATGATTTGGCGCCGAGGTCGACGGACACGTACAATAAGAAGATGCAGGCGTATAATAATATGAGTGAGCAAGAAAAGGAAGAAATGAGAAGGTCAGTGAGTTTTACTTTTTGTCGCGGCCTCAAAGACATGAAAATTAGGGAAAGTGGTGGTCGATGCCATCGAGCCGTAATTTGGCTTAAAATTAAGAAAAAAATACGTATAGTTACACCTTGAAGTCCCTAGATAGTGAGATACGCGTCATACTTTTATATTGCAAAATAATTTCGCTATTTTGTGGTTCTCGTTAGTTATTTCAAAAAGTATTGGTTTTACTGAAGAATGTTTCCAGTAAAAGTTGTTCAGGAGACAATTTTACAAGGGATTACTGATTTAAAAAAAAAATATTTTTATTGTTTATTTTTGGCTCTGAAACCTGGAATTAAACTAAACAATAAAACCTTTTAGATTTTTCTAAATCATCAATCCCTATGTAAAATTGTCTCCTGAACAACTTTTACTTTTGCATTTTTTTGTAAAACCATTACTTTTTGCAATATAAAAGTATGACGCGTATCTGTCTTTAACAGATTACGTATAGTTACATAACTATACGTATTGTTTTCTTAATTTTAAGGAAAGTTTCGGCTCGATGGCATCGACCACCACACTAGTTTCCCTGGAGCCGCGACTATTTGTAAATTTTTCAAATGCATTTTAAAATTATTTTTTTAATAATTTTTTGAATGAGTCAAAAATTTATTCAGATTGAGATTACATACCTTTTGTGAGAAATTAGTGAAAATAATTTTAAAAGTAGATCTCCATTAACGGTGCCTGAAGAGAAGTTTTTCATCAAACTCCAAAGATTTGCAAATTTGTATACATTGTGTTGTTAGATTAAATATTTTGGTACTCCTTGAGAACATACTTAATAACGTAAACTGATTTAGATTTGGTTGTTGTTGTATTCATTTTCTAGTAGTTAATCTATTGTTGATTTTTTGTTCTCAGAGCAAACCGTGTGGAAAACTATGCGCTGTTAGAAAGAATGAGATCTTTGGCAAATCGACATAATACGTATCTAGGGCCACCGCCCGTCAACTTGTTGGAAAAACAGTTTCTGGTAAGTAATAAATTGTGCCAAGTGCTTTTAGGAAGTATGTCCCTAAAAGATAGGCAGATTAAATATTTAGCAGTCTATCGACCCAACCCGTCTGGCCAGGGTGGTATGGTAGGCCAAAACCTCCTTTGTAAGGAGAGGCCTATGTCCAGCAGTGGACTATTAAAGGCTGTTGATAATGACGATGAGTCTATCGACATCCTCAGACATGAGGGTCCAGTAGTGAGCATAGGCAACTCCTAAATACCTCCAAATCAGACTTTATGCTTTTATTCAATTTCTTCCTTCTTTCAAATTCCATTCCTTCAGTCATTTCATTTCTATTCCATTCAATTCATGCCCAAATGATGAAATTCTAATGTAATAGTATAAATAGCGAAGTTAGTTTGTTGGTTTATTTGTTTGTAAGGCACTCGCACACGCAACGTTTTTTGTTTTTGTTTTAAAGTACACAGGAAGAACTCTTTTATCATATCAAAAATAATGTTCCAGACGGATAGAAAAATTCGACTTTTGTAATTCATAGTGTGAATGTGTTTAGGTTAGTCAATCGTTTTTAAATATTTAAGTTCGCCATATGATAATGCCTATTTCAGCTAATAACCCGTTCGTGTGTGGAAGCGAGCGTGTGCGCACGTGCGCCGCACAATGCGGAAAAGAACCGTTCCGGTGGTATCCTGCCATCTGACTCCGCCAGGGTCATGCTCGTGCCTAAGCCGGGAGTCGAAGGTGAGACATGCCATTTAACTTTTTAGATATTGAATATACTACACGACAAAATATTTGTAGAACGGTGAACCTATTGTGGTCAAAGGCATTCTGAAAATTTTTTGTCCCTCTACATTGTTAAGTTGTTACTAGCTTCCGCCCGCAGCTTCGCCCGCGTAGATATCGGTAACCGTGATCTTTTTTGTACAGCATAAGATTTTTGTGACCTCTTCAACAATAATCGTTATATTTCAGTCGATTTAGATAAAACCATCAAGAATTATATACCTAAACCTTCCTCAGGAATGACACTATCTGTCGGTGAAAACCGTACAAAAATCCTTTCTGTAGTTTTTGAGTTTAGCGCGTTCAGACAGCGGCCGGGGACTTAATTTTATAATATGTAAGGATATCTAGTATGTTATTTAGACTCAAAGTAATGCGTGTAGGTAGTGAATACGTGAACGCGTCGTGGGTGTGCGGGCGGCGGCGCGTGCGCGAGTACGCCGTGGCGCAGCACCCCGCCGCCTGCGCCGCCGACCTGTGGCGCCTGCTGTGGGACCACACCGCGCAGCTCGTGCTCACGCTCTCCGACACCGACGACCCGGTAACGCTTGCCAAAATGTCTAATACCGTACGACAGTTTATATATCGAATAACTTATATTGAAAAACTGTTCAAATTTACAGGAGTGTGAAATATTCTGGCCGACGGAGGATGAAAAAGAATTGTTCGTCGCTAACTTTAGAGCGAGTTTCGTATCGAAGGACACGTACGTGGCCTACCGAAAAACCGACAGGAAATCGCCGGCGCCCTCTCCCGTCGAGCCCGAGACCGACGGCTACAGGAGACAGGAGAGCGGCGACTGCGCCGACGACGAGAGACTGATACCGGAGAACGGTTCGCCGGTCGCCGACGCGGCACCCGCCTACCGCTTCGACCGAACGGAACTTAGATTAGAACGACTCAGCGCGGGCAACCGCGATCTGTCTGCGAGGAAATCGATCGCCAACGGAGATCTATTCTCGTCCTTATCGGAAAAGAAAAACGGTCCAAAATCACCCCGCAGTCCCTCAAAAATGTCCCTGAAGAATTTCAAATTGAGCTCACCGACGAAGTTCAAATTCCCAGATTGGGGTTCGAGAAGCGCTGGCTCCCCACCGGACGTAGCCCCGCCACCGCCTCCCGTAGCACCGGCGTTGACCGTCGAAGAAGAAGCAGAGTTACGCAGACCCTGTTATGCATTTGAGAAAGTCGACTCGATACCTGAAGACGTACCGTTAGACCGCGTTATAGAGGTGACAAACGTTAGCGTGCATTCCTTACAAGATGACTATCAATTATCTGTGAAGTTTATAAAGTGTAGTAAATGGTTAGAGGGGGCGACGACGTCCTACTCCCCCGGAAAACCGGACGATAATGAGTTCGTGAGAGCGGTGAGACAAGCTACGACTGAAAGTGAGAGGGAAGAAGCTATAGACAGGCTTATAGAGCCGTATAGAGACTCGTTCGCGTTGGTCGAGTATGTCGCGGGTTGTCAGATGGAGTACAAAAATGGGCCAGTGGTTGTTGTGGACAAGTAAGTTGTAATATTTTTGATTAACGTTTAGAGATTCGTTATAGTGTAATTTGTAAGTAATCTAGTTCGTAAGTAAACTCTAGGGAGTATTTAAAAATTAAGTTTCATTCTTATTTGATTCTGCAGTATGAACAAAAGGATTCTTCTCTGACTTGCAGTGTGTAAACGGAATTTAGACACTGTGGGTGGAGAGTAAATTTTTATCGCGTTAAAAAAAGAGTTTTAGGTATTCGAAATAGGGTCGATTTTAACACTTCATGTCTTTCTAAATAGAATACTTAAGAGCCGACCTAATATGCTTACGTAACCAACCGGTTTCTTGTTTGCTCTTTTCCGCTCACGAGTCGGGTTCTCTCTTTCTCAGGCACCTACAATCGCTATTTCGATAGTAAGTAACGTTCATCGGAGCCGTATAATTCAAATTTCTAGTTTCGCTATATTTGTGCCGCGCGTTCGTTCGTCTGGCCGTCAGCGGTTCACGGCTCTGGTGCATATTAGACGATCGATATATCGTTCGTCGTCTATACATCGTAGTCCCGTATCGGTGATTCAGATCGATGGAAGGATGGATGGAAGATGTATTATTTTTTAATCTGTGTGTTAAAAATAAAATGTGACATCGCACTAGGTACGGCGGGTGGAAGGCGATGAACTTCTGCAGCATGTCGGCGGCGAGCGGCGGGGCGCGCGCCGTGGACGCGCACGACCCGTCGGCGCCGTTCCGGTCGGGCTCGGACGCGCGCGCGTCGCTGTACTGCTGGCAGGCGCTGGGCGCGCACGCGCGCACGCCGGCGGGAGGCGCGCGCGCGCACTCGCTCGCCGCGCTGCTGGCCGCCTACTGCGCGCTCGCCGCCTACGGCCAGCTGCTGCACTCCGCGACCCTGCGCACGCACTCGCGCAGGTACTCCTGCCGCTCTACCGTCTAAATGGCGCAGATATTCAATTTGTTAAGTTTATATCCTTAGATGCGAATGCCACTTATTTTTTTCGAGTATTCCGTTTGTTAGACTTTTTTATCGTCACGTTTGTTTTCCTCTTTTTGATTTTAGAAACGTGAAACTTTTAACTTATATTAAATAGACAGTCGAATATGTCTAAATGTCAATAGTAAAAAACCAGTAGACCCGGTTTTCAACAATTATTTCACTATATACTCGAATTACCTAATCTAATGATACAAAATTTACCAGTTCATTTCCCTATGCTAATGGCCTGCCCGATAACGGAATGCACATACCGGTTCGAACTGCTACAGTTTCAATACCTTCCTCATTCATGTCTGAAACCAATTATATTACAAAAAGTTTAGCATTTATTAAAATTCAATCTAATAAAATGAGAAAGAAAATGGTAATGATCTATTAATGATAACCTTTAATAAAAAAAACTTATGTAGAAATTTTATACATAATAGTTTCGGTGAGCTTACGACTACATGTTTTGTATTTATTTCAGATTTTCAGACACTCCTGAACAAGAATCTCGGTAATACTCCACAACACGATGAGATGTAAGTAAATACTCAGAGCGTTGTGTCGCACGTGCCTCCGCGGCGTGGTCCTGCGCCGGCGCACATGTCACAGTACCTGTCGTACCTTTAGTCTAACTAATGTCTTGTTTCTCCACCGTCTCAAGATGGCAGGCACGTTTGAAATATGCTATACAAATCATAATCTATAAAAAGACTGCAGAAAACTTGCCGGAATACAATTTCACATTCTTTTTAGTTACGATAAAATAATTTCTAAGTAAACCTATAGTTACCCTACAGTATTATCCAATATGAGTTTTTAATTGTAGAAAAGTATCTGGTTATATCGTGAGTTTACTTACTATATTTCAAAATTATCAAACAAGCCTTAACACAATATTGCTAGTAATTAGTCTTGAATAGAATGGTGTATTTTCTCGCTCTCAAAAAAGCATATACAAACAACCTTTATGTTTTCACTGAAAATAATATTTTAAAGAAAATAAACTTTATTTAAAGTCGAGATTTTAGATTTCACTAACAGTTATTTAAGACAACGGTACACATTTTTCAAAAATGTAAAATTGCTTTCTTAAAATACCAAAATCATTTATAATGCAATATTTGTTCTTAAATTGAATTGAAAGTGCTAAGAGTAGTTCCTCCACCAAGTATATTAAGATGTATGATATTAGATCGATTAAATGAGTCCTAATCAAAGATTGTGCATAGAGTTTTGCATAGGTTGTGTTAAACAAAGTTCGGTGATACTCAAATTATGTGGAACATAGTACGTTTTAAGAAATAAAAAGGATTCGGTGGAAAAGACAGTTGAGAACCACAGTTTTTAATACTAATGAAATCAGTCCTTTACACAACTGTATATTGTACAAGGTAACTTGTATTAAAACAAACCTTTTATATTAAATACGGCAGATTTTTCAAGCTTGCCTGTCATCTGTCATCGATTCGTGCCTGTGTGACGCGGTAAATATTAGAATCAGTAGTCCAACTCTGTCCAAATATATAACATACATTAGAAAGAATAACCAAAAGGAAAGCTAGTGTAGATGAAACGCAATATTCGTGTAAAAATTAGATATGGTACTCCAATTGGCGCAATAGAGACATGGTTATATGAGAGTTGGTTTACTGCCTATACTCAGTGGGTAGTATAGCTCATTAGCGGTCGTATGCTCAAATTATAGCAAAAATAATGAGGAAATAATATCAATGTCAGCAAGTGCTAGTGTTGCCAGATACAACTAAAAAATTACTACTATTGCTTTTGTACCATTTCTCTTCAATTGACAATTGAATAATTTATTAAAATGGATTTTGAAGATTTTTATGAATGTTTTCGTTACCTACTAAAAGAGTTTTTTTTATTTATATTTTTTAATGTTTTTGTACTTTGTAAATCGTAGACTATAACAAAAATTGATATATCATAAATTTTGTCAAAATACCACTATATGATTAGAGTGTTTTTTTGTAGCTTTCTTCCAAACTAAATATATTAAAGTTGGAGAGATATTTAAGTTTAGACCTATATTTTCAGAATGCGGAACAGCATTAGACAGGACTAAACTAAATGTTAGTGATTTTTAGTTTAGTGTAGAGAGTTTTCGAACAACAGAATTAGCACCAATGTTAACCTTATGTCTGGCAACACTAACCCAGTCCAATACGAAATAAGAAGAGGTTGTGTTATGAAATATTTAGGAAGGACTTTGTGGCATATTCTAGTGTTTTAATTAGACGGTCATGATTGAAATGCCTTGCTTAGATTATTTTTACTAAAACGTTCATGAATTACACAATATTTGTTTGAATTAATACAATGGCAATACAGTTAAAAGTGATTTCAAATGTGTTCTAATTACGGTTCGTTAAATTGGTCACATTCTAAATCACGAAATCATGAATCTTTTAGTACTATTTTTTTCCATTATTGTACAAAATTATTTGTGGGTACAGTCGGGTCAACGAAAATGTGATAAATTGTTGATGTGATTGCGTTTGTTTCTCAGACTTGTACGTAGTGTAAGCAGTCGAAAGGGTTGTTAATAAATAGTACTCTTCGAAACTTGCATGTCAGAGATATATATTTGTAAAAAAATCATCTTACATAATAAAGAAAATTATATGAACAATTTATAATTAAACCTGACTGTGTTGTCCCACGTTTTCAATAGCCATCCAATGTTATTTTTAACGAACTAGACACGTGCAATAGAAGCGTTACGCATTTATAAAATTAAAATATATTTTTAAAATATTTTTTTTTCTAGCCAAGTAATCGTCTATGGAGATATTTTGTCGACGTATATATATTTTATTTTCTAATTAAATTATACATAATCTATGTGTACGTACTAAAGTCGGAATGACGAGTGTACACGCATGTATTTATATAGGACAATACTTTATTGCGTTAGTAATAGAGTTCATTATTTGTTGAACAAAAACTGTTGTATCTAACGTTATGAAACATATGTGACTTTAGTTGAATATAACTTTGACTAATATTTATTAACAACGACTCTTATTACTCAGCATTAAAGTATAAAATGGCATCTGCCCACTCGTTTCTCCGACAACTGTAATTCCTATTAAATCAATTTATGGTCCAGTATTTTTTAAATATAGTAATTGTAATCTAGTTATTGATATAATTGTGAAGACTGCTTATTAGTGGTTTGTCAATTAGGATGTCATGGGTTCAGTTCGGATATCGTTTCGGCGATGTCTTAAGGATCTCTAAAAAGAAATTCATCGGGGCATTAAAAGTGTATGTTACACTGTCATTGTTAAATGCATGCTGTATTAAAATATAATATTTGCGCAAACAATGCGCATGCGCATATAATATTATTTGTGCATGGCCAAGCTTAATGTTCGATTTTCTTTTTCAAACAGTGGGTTTTCGAGATTCTTAGTGTGCGCACATAAGATACGTGTGCTGATCGGCTTGTGGTTCGTATTACCGTCTTATTGAATGTTGTGAAGTGATCGAATGTAATAAAATTGTATATTCCCGTATTTATTAAGAGAAAGTGTTTAACACTTCGTATAGTTCCGTACTTGGTATTGCCATGGTTGAATAATAATTATTCATGAAATACACATGTTAATTTAGCAATTTTAACGTTATGTTGCTTAAACGCCATAGTCACTAGCAGGTGTCTTCGATATACAAATAAATAATAGGAGCCATACATAAATTACGTTACAAGTAAAGAGAGAGGGAGAAAGATAGTGAACGAAATGATACATTATATATGACGTTTCAAATAAAAGTTCATCAAAACAAAAAGAATTCGTCGATACATATTTTTTAAGGTTAAATAAGGACTGATATAATAATCATTTGATGGCAAGTTCTAGTTCACGGTAAAGACTTAAGAATTAGACATAAAATTTCCAAGTATGTGACGTCACACCAGGCAAAAAAGCGGTTCTATAAAATTAAATGTGACAGGGTAGGGGGAGGGGCAAAAATCATGTGACGTAATTAATGGATGACGCCCATATCCTTAATAAATATGTATACGGATATATTTTAATATATTTAATGTTTGCTAGGAGTTTCGAATGGCGCTAAATTACATGTGTATATCAGATGTTGGTAATATGTTTCGATCACAACACAAGGCAACGAAAAAAGTAGTAAATGTATTTAGAATGAATATGGCGGGGTATGTTTGTGCGTTCGTCCCGTGTGTGCCATTTTAGGCTTAGAATAATAAATAGATAGTTTCAATTATATTGCCCGTATAGGCTTTAGTAAGTATGCTGGATTAAATACAGATTATTATACATTCATTATTAAGGTTCTTTTTAGTATGTGGCATATTTGTTGGCAAATTGGCTGACCATTGCGTTAAGTAGCTGTGGGTTTTACTCAGAATAACGCATGTGTATGTAACACTCAAACTTAACTACGAGTATATTCGAGATTATTGTACAATTCAAAATGTATTTCTAACTTGTTGGGCATATATGCACGACTTTGACTAGTTAATTTTTTAGGCATATCTGACTTGTTGAACAGATCTAACTCGTTGGGCATATCTAACATGTTAGGTGCATGTAACTCTGGGCGTGTATGACTCATTGGACATATCTAGTTAGATATGTCCAACAAAATGTCAATGACTTAGTTGTCATATATCTCTAACGTTCGTTGAAGATATTTGACACCTTGGTCATAATTAACTTATTGGGCAGATCTAACTTTTGAGACATATTTAACGCCTTTATATTCTAACTAAACAATTTTGGATTATACGATGTTTCTAATCTGTTGGTCAATAACCCTAGATTGCCAAGTTAACGAACTTTAGTTGGCAAATTTATACCTTAATATTTGCAAGATCTATTATACCTACATATTTTTTTCAAGCATAGTCAAATTGCATCTAAACATAAAATATTATTAAAAAAAACCAA